CCCTGGGACTTTGGGACTTTGATCTTCCTGAAGGACCTGAAGGAAAAGACTCTCTTGCTGGAAAAGGTTTCCTGAGGGCTAGACGGGAGGCTAAGCGGATGAATTACTAACGTCTGCAGAGAATTGTGGCCATAAGTGCTATATAAGCACCGGACATCATTAATATTACTACTCAAAAGACCTGAGCATCCCATTACGTCTTATGTAGTAACCTTAGCACAGCAGAATTTTCTAAGTGTTCCCTCTAAAATACCCTCTAATAAGGTTAACCATTGATTGGGTTGCCAGCTGGAGCACTGATAATGCTCTAGAGGCATGTCATACAGGGAGATTTGGTGCAGCCAGCACTTGCTCAAACTCTCATCAGGTCTTAGTTGAACTGTTACAACAGTCTCCTTACTGTCTACTGGCCTTAGACGGTCCCCGTCGGCCAATTCCTAACTATACTGGTCCATACTCCTAACTATATTGATCTTTCTAAACTGTGGTCTGTCTAATCATGTCACTTTTCTGCATTAAAACAGCTTATGATTTCTTTCTGCCTAAAAAATATCCAAATTCTTTAACAAGGCACAACTTGGAGTGGGGTATCGACCCTCTACTCTGAGCATCCTACCACTATCTAACCACCCCAAAGGACCATGGGGTCTCCTCCCACTTCTCCAGATGAGTTTTCTGACCTTTGTTCCCCTGATAAACTTCTGAGCATCTTTCAAGCATCACTTCCACCCTGAAACCTTCCCTCATACTCATCCATAGAAGCAGAATTGTTTTCTTCTCTACATGCCTATAGCACAGAATAATTCTCTTGTATTGACCAGGACCTTTGGCTGCAAATTTTGGAAATCCGGCTTAAACAGCTTAAGGCATAAACTGGGATTTATTCACACTTATGTCACCAAACTGTACATTGGCTGGGTCGTAGGATGACTGAGACCAGATCCTCAGCCCAAACCAGGGATTCTCCTTCAAGCAACTTCATGGGGTGGAAATTACAGACACTACTTCTCCAGCTTTGCATCCATATATACTTGAAACCAGAGTAGAAAGAGCTCCTTCCCGCTAATTCCAGTCATAAAATTTCAGAGCAAGCTCTCTGGTTGGCTGGCTTGGTCCACATATGCATCCTTTTAACTAGTTTCATGGACAGGAGACTGGGTAGTATGATTCACCCAGACTGAGCCAAAGGTAACTCTTGCTCTGACCTAGAAGTGGGGCACCATAATTAGCATAAGTAGGAAAAAACAGTGCTTCAAAAGAAGAGGGTACACTCGAAGAAGAGATTCCAGACACATGTATCAACTGGACAGTTTTTCAAAGTTTGTATCTAATGACACTCAGGTTGTGTTATAATTGAACTTGAGTGTGCCTCTCTCACTAGAGCCTGAGCTTCTGGAGTTCAAGAACCCTGTCTTACTCACTTGCCTGTTGCCAATACCTAGCACGATGCCTGACGCCAAGTTGGCACTTCGCTAATGTTTGTTTGTTGCTGAATTAATAAATGGATAGTTCTCCAATGTTCTGTGAACAAAACATCCAGTGAACATGATTGCAGAATTCCGTAGTGTTTTGAAGTTAGTTAAATGGGTGTATATAGAACCCTATAGTTTAAAGGTCATTCAGTGATTCAAAACTAAAACACAGTAACTTTTGAAGTACAACTAATATTTATTGCGTTCACATTATTTTTTATAAAAGCCATTTAATCCTTACAAAGATCCATGAGTTTTAGGAATTACCCCTGTTTTATAAATTAAGAAGATGACGTTAAGAGATCCTTGGGCTTTCCCAAGCTCTCACAAATAATAGGCTGCAGAGAAGGTATAGAAACTCAGGCCCTCTGATTCCAAGTCTGTTGCTGTGTTCTTAAATTATTCAACCTCTTTGAGTAAAATAACACATTTCTGAAGATTGTTGTAAGGAATAAAAGAAAACACAAATATCACATGCCCAATGCAAAGGCTGGTCCAGATTAAGGCATCAATAGATAGCAGTTTCGTTATCCGTCAAGGATGGTAGAAGACTTCCTGGGACTTCTAACTGGCACATATATCTGTGGTCAGTTCTCATCCTTCAGAGACTCATCCTGCATTTTTCTCCTCTTTAGTCCTATTCACTCTATCTCCAGTAGCTTCTCCTCCACAGGACTGGCTCTAGAACAAGTCACAGGCTCCTGGGCTCCCCCTTCCTTGCTAAAGCCAAGCCACAGGCCGCTTTTCCTGCCTCAGGTAGCTTACCTCCAGTTCAGAAAAGAGAAATACTAAGAGGCATAAGGACATGTGGATCCTAGACCTTGTTCTGACATCAATTAACCATGAGACATTTGTGCAACTGTTCTCTCAAGTGTGAAATGAGAGTGTTGGACCAGAGAAATTTTTATATTAAACTTTATTATGCAAAGGAAATTTCAGTGAAAATGTTTTCAATGCAGAGTCAAGCAATACCATTACCAGTCTCAGAAAAAAAGTTTTAAATATTTTTCAATCCACCAAATAAATCAGCCTTGGCCTTGCCTAAGTTTATCAGACCCATTTCTGCTACTTTGAACTTTTCCTTCTTGCTCCACTCCTCAGCAGGCATCACATGCCTGCAGCATACATTCAGAATTTTTTCCTGAATATAGATTCCAGGAAAAGCTGGAGCAAAGAGGACACAGAAGAAAGAAATAGCATAGATGACATTTCTTTTAGGCTCACTGCCTAGATCTTACTTGGCCTGCTGCCTTCTTCTCGTTAGTCCCACTGACTGAATCTGATTAGCCCACCCTGATTTATTTTTGGCAACCTGGGATCACATGGGCCAATGCTTATTTTCATGGATGATACAATCATCCCCAAAGCTGTCGCTAGCATTTGGAAGATTAGTCCTTTTCCCTGGAAGATTTCACTGTCTATGAAGCATCATGACACATGCGTCATCTATTTCTTAAACACTTGACAAAATTGAGTCTATTTATATTTATTCCTCCTTTCATTATCATGAACACTTTCAGTTATTGGCTGTTAAAACAGAAAAAATTCTTAATAGTTATGAATTTGATGTTTGTAAACCTATTGTTTTTTGAGTTAGTGAATCTGTTTCTATAATCAATAATGAATAAAAGCCAGATTTCAATTCTTTTGGATATCCAATGCTTGGTTTAGTCTCACAGTGCCACTCAGACCACTGGCAATAAAGAATAGGTCACATTTTATGTATGGTTCCAGAAGTACAGAACTCAATATTAGAAACCTGCCCAGGTGTGTGAGGATGAGAGACAATGTGGATAGAGGGACATTTTAAAAGTCAATCCCTGCTGACTGTCCCTTATGACAGAAATCTGCCTAAAACCACTTAAATCACAAAGCACCTAGCATATGCCAATCATTAGTCCTAGAGCTGGAGATGCAGCTAGAAATAAGATAGAGTCCCTTCCCTTCAAGGACTTAGGGTCTGGTATGGTTAGAATATCATGGACACACTTAAGTCTACCAAATTTTAAGATAGAATTAAATTTCTGTTATTGACTAAATATTCTTTATAAGTACTAGGACCTGTAAAAACTAGATTTCTAAAAAAATTAAATAAGAAAAAATATTAATACATTTTTAAGTCTATATAGCCTCTTTTATAATACTGATAGGTATATGCTGAATGCTTGATTTGGCTGCTGACAATATGTGAGGTACCAAAATTAATAAGTAGATTAATTCTAAGAAGCAGTTGGATGCCCACATATAATTAATGCAATCAGCAATCCTTTCATTCATTTAACAAACACTTGTCAGTTGTATAGTGTATGTCAGACTCAGTATTAGGAAAATAAATCAAGAAGGAAAGACAAAGAGACATGTGGAATAATAGTGGAGCTCAGTTTGGGTACTTGTGCAGCTCAGGAGTTAAGAGTCCAAAGTATATGTCCAACCTTGGGCAAGTGACTTAATCTTTCTGAGCCTCAGCTTCCTCAGCTAAAAACTGAGATTGAAGATAATAATACTTATCTCATGAGGTCATTTTGAATATTAAATGAAATGATTATGTACATAGACTGCCTAGTTCAATACCTGGGTCCTTGTAAGTCTTGACAAGTTTCAGCAATTTTTCTGTCCCAATTTCATAGAAGAGAAATCTGAGGCTCAGAGCAGTGAAATAACTTTCCCAGGACACTGCATACCCAGAAGATAAATTAAAAACAAAACAGCAAGTGGTACAAAGTACATAAGTCTAGTCTGAGTCCAGAAGGACTGATTCTGCCTGTGGGGTGTGGGAAAAAAATCAGAGAGGAATATTTGAACCAACTACACAAATGATTTCTCAAATACTGTCCATAAACCTTGATCTGGAAACTTTGAACAAAGTTTTCAGTCTGCTAACTTTTAGACTCTTTTCAGTTTGCTGACTTTCCCATACATGCCTGCAGAACCTCAGTATGGTCTCTTCTTCAAAGAGCATCTTAGCTTCTCTTTTTAACGGCAGGCTAATGTTTAATGAGGAGGATTGTCACAGGTTTCTCAGTCGTGACTTTTTTTATTTGCAGCACTGACAGGTGAGAAGTGAGAGAGGAAATAACGGCCTTGAAACATTCTTCTAGAATTTTCCTAGGACCACCACAACATCACTCCCTCTAAAGTAAAATAGTATGCTTCTTCAAACCATACAACTTCTCTAACGTAACTGAAACCAAGGACTTCCAGGAAAGTTGAGAGCCGAGATGATTTTTATTCATTGATAATTTGCTCATTTCCATGATGTTTATTTTGTGTTTATTTAATGACACAATCCATGAACTTGAAGCAGCTTTTCAACAGAGAAAAATTCTCAAAGTAAAAGCCTGAGAAGATCATTAGTCATAATATTCTCCCATTCTGCTTTTCCTTGTATGCTAAAGTACCTGTGTAACTCTATTTTACAAAGTAATACTTACCACAAACATTAGTTTTGGAAGAATTGTCTCAGTATAATTTTATTGCTAATAATCTGAATTTGACCTCCATTTCCTTTTCTTTTCTTTTCTTAAACAGAATGCTACAACATTCCATGTAACTGTCCAAGATGATAACAGCATTGTTATCTCTTTAGAAGCTTCAGATGTCATGAGTCCATCATCTGTGTACGTTGTGAAGATAACCGGTGAATCAAAAAATTACTTCTTCGAATTTGAGGAATTCAACAGCACTTTGCCCCCTCCTATTACCTTTAAGGCCAATTATCATGGCCTTTATTACATAATCACTCTGGTAGTGGTAAATGGAAATGTGGTTACCAAGCCATCCAGATCGATCACTGTGTTAACAAGTAAGCATCATGTGTAATATTGTCCTCTGTGGTTCTTCTTTGAGTGTATTCCCAAGGGGCTCTCATTGAAAGAGAGTTAGTCCAGAATGACAAGATCAATTTCCTTGAAGTTAAGTGACATAGATTCAAAGTTCTGCCTTATATTAAGAATACAGTTTCTTGCCAAAGTTTGATAATGTTTTACTTTATTACCTTTTGTCAAGCAAAAATCTGTTTTGAACCCCAAAAAGTAAACCTTAATAAGGTAGAATATTGTAAGACTGACTGAGAATTTTAGATTCATGATTGGACCATGTAATTTTCTGCTCTGTAACTCAATAGTACGATTATAACTAAGTTATTTTTTTCCAGGACATGCATTCTCATATAAGCAATTTGGTTTTTGAGATGATGAATTTATAGTCATATTCAGCCTGCTCAAATTTAATTATACATTTTTAGCTGAGAGAGAAAAAAAGATATCATTATCAGTTGCTATTCCCCACCTCACCCTCAAAATAGCCTTGGCTTCCACTGCCCAAGAAAAATGCCAAGAAAAAAAGTCATTGGCATTTTAATCTTCAGTAGTCTATATCTTAAAGAGTTAATGCTGGTATTAGGAATTTTTTGGAGTGGTTTTAACTCCATGAGATCTTCACTTCACTCTCTGACTTTAATATGTAATCTCAAAGTAAAATATGGCTCTACTATATATGTTGAGATATGGAAGAGAAACCATTACCTATAAGATGGCAGAGTTTATCACTAGAGCAATTTAGTGGCTCAGCGAAGTTCTTTTTGTTCATTGTTCTTCAGTGCAAATTTTCCAGGGGCTGCAATTTTTAAAATGCTGGTTATATGTTGTCATTTTGGCCACAATTAAAGAAAGGGACATAAAGATATTTTCTGTTGGGATAAAAGGAAACAGAAACACCAAAAAGCAAGAACTCAGAATCAAGCTAGAGGACATATTTTTGACATGTCTGTCAAAAATTAATTAAAAGTTTCCCTTGGCTAAGTCCCGGGATCAGTACTGAGTCCTAAAAATTAGGAATGGCACCAACTCAAGACCTTCAAGGTTCATAGATATAATGAACAAATCTAGGACCTAGCTGAATTAAAGGAAGAACTTGCCTGGTAAAACACTGTCTTAAACAAATTGCAGAAAAATGAGAATTGGGAGTTAATAGATCCAGGCAACAGATCTAGGTAGATACTGCTTATAATACAACTCCTTGAAAACAGAAGCTCTGTCTTACTCGCCTTCATAATTTCATAAGCACCTAGCATGAGCCTTACACTTAATAGATGGTCAATAAATATTAAATCAATTTAGCTGAGGAAGTAACAGAAGAAAGAGCCATGAAAAAAAGAATAAGACACAAAGCAAAATAAAACAGCAGTGCCTATTGCTGACCCAACATTCATTAGCATGCACTCAGCCATTTCAGATGACCAAGTGGGAGGAGTCAGCCCTTGAGCTAATGGTTCATAAAGAAATTTGTTAAGTAAGTAAATGCTAAAAGATTTCTGGAATATCTCCTTGATATTATTTTAGCATGTGCAATGAGTTCTATTCAAAATATTTTCTATTTTCCTTTGTGATTTCTTCTTCGACACATGGGCTTAGAAGTGTGCTGTTGAATGTCCAAAAATTTGGTGACTTTGCAGAGATCTTTTCATTGATTTCTAGGTAAATGCAGTTGTGATCAGGGAACATACTTTGTATGATTTCAATGGCTTGAAAATTGTGGTGTTCTGTGTCATGGCCCCAAATATGCTCCATCTTGATGTGTATTCTGTGAGCACTGGTTGGGTGAATTTTCAATAAATGTCAGTAGGTCAAGTTGGTTGTTCAGTTCTTCTCTACCCTTCTGATTTTCTGTCCATTGTTCTAACAGTGACAGAGAAGAGTGTGATAGTCTCCACCTCTCTCTGTGGATTTGTCTATTTCTCCTTTCCCTTCTTTTAGTTTATGCATTACGTATTTTGAAGCTCTATTGGTTTGTTGTTAGGTGCAAACACTTTTAGGATTACTATGTCTTCTTGATGAGCTATCCATTTTATCTGTATGCAATGACCCTCTTTATCGTAAGTAATATGCCTTGTGTTGAAGACTATTTTGCCTGATATCAATATAGACATCTTAGTTTTCTTTTGTTAGGTATTTTCATAGTCTACTTATTTCTTCCTTTTAATTTCAACCTCCTTATATCTTTATATGTAAACAGATTTCTTGTAGACAGCTTAGAGTTGGATCTTGCCTTTTGTCCAACCTAAAAGTCTCTATTTTTTAATTGGAGTGTTTGACCTAGCACTAGCCAATAAAAGGAGAAGGGTAACCACATACGTAATAGCAAATTTTCTGCTAGACACATTAAAAAACTTTCTGAAAAGTTGAAATTAATTTTTTCCCTTTTTTTCTTTTCTTTTCTTTTTTTTTGAGGAAGATTAGCCCTGAACTAACATCCCTGCCCATCTTCCTCTACTTTATATGTGGGACACCTGCCACCGCATGGCTTGAACGGCAGTGTATAGGTCCATGCCCAGGATTCAAACCAGTGAACCCCGGGCCGCTAAAGTGGAGTGTGCAAACTTAACTGCTACGACACTGGGCAGCCCCCAAAATAATTTTAATAATACAGTTTACCTCACCCATTCAAAATACTATTCAATTATCTTCAAAATATTATTTAAAATATTCACTCAAAATATTATTATTTCCATATATAGTCAATATAAAGTTTATACATTTTTCACTCAAACATAATTCATTAAAATTAAGTAAAATTAAAAATTCAGTTTCTCAGTTACACTAGCCCATAAGTGCTCAATAGCCATATGTGGCTAGTGGCTACAAATTTAGACAGTGCAAGTTTAGATCATTTTTATTTAATATAATAATTTACATGTTGAATTTAATTTAAATGTACCACATTACTAGACTGTTCCTGTGGGGGGGTTGAGCTGTGTTTAAGGTACTAGTCACCTTTAGTTCATCACAGATTTCAAATTCTTCCAGTCAGCGGTAGGCCATCAGCAGTAGTAGAGGGTATTTCTGCATTCGAGTTCTACCCTCAGGTTTTAGCAGGCCCTGAACACCTGCACCACAGAAAGGTTCCATGATCTTGTCCCTCCCCTAGCAAAAGACTGCTATTGCTTTTTACTCAGTGCTAAGTTTTTGGTGGGGACACGGAAAGTTCTTGGTTCCGCTGGTCCAGCCTCAGGCTTAGGCAGACCCTGGGATCCTAAGTGGGGTATTCTCAGCATTCCTACCCCTCACTATACGCTGATGGCCAAAATTTCCCTTAAATCCGTGGAAGGTCTTGGGCTGGAAAGTTTCCTGCCTCTTCTCCAGTAGTAGCAGAACTCTACGTTGTATTAGCGCACAATCATGAGTCCAACAGAGTTTGTGCCCCTCTCACAGGAACAGAAATCCTTCGCTTCTACCTGTCCTTCAGAAGCTAGCAGCGGGCAGGGTTGGGGAATCCATCTTTGCCTCTGAGAACTGGGAGGGAAAGAATTTTCTACCCTTCTCCAACGCCTTAAGTCTTATGCTCGTATTCAAGAAAGGTCCTGGGAATTGAGTAAGATTTCTTCCTGATGTCCTAGTGGCACCAATTATCACCTGCGTACCTGTACCCCTAAGGTTGGCTTCCCTCAATGATTCTCATGAGCACCTGATGGAGGCCCAGGAAAGGAGCTAGAGAGAGAGTGTAGACTCTACTTGTGTCTGGGATTCCCAATCGTTCTAAACCACCACTATCCTAGAATTTTGGATAATGGAAATGTTCTATATCTACACTATTCAATACAGTAGCCAACAATTTTTAATTTTAATTAATTTTGATTCATTCTAAGTTTAATTTAAATAGCCACAGATGGCTAATAAGCTACCTTATTAGACAAAGCAGCTCTAAACTGTCATTTAGAACACACTTAGCCCTTAGGAATCAGTAAAATCCTAGTTGCTTTCTTCTTTCTTGCTTTAATGGTGCTCCCCTCTTCCTGCTATGCTCTGCTAAAGGTGAAACAGTTAGTATCCTTTCTCTCCTCACAGGGAATTTAGTTGATTTTGTTGCCTTGCAATCTCACCTCTCTGATGGACTCAAGAAAAGTTATGATCTCATGGATTACTTGGTTTTTTCTTGTTGTTGCTGGGGATTAGGGAGTGACATTGACTTTCAGCTTTCTACATCTTAAGTGAAAGGGAAAATTTGCACTGATTTCTAAAGAGTAAAAATGAATAAATGGTGGTTGACTGTCTCTCACTTTCTATCCCGTTTTTAAAGACTCAGTTACATCATATCAGATTCTGAAAGTGATAATAGGTTTGGAATATAAAAACTGGGGATTCATGCACAAAAATTTCTGGGACATTAGGCATGAGGTGACATTAGGTGGCATTTGGGTTTCAGCTTCCTCCTTTAAAAAAGAAGGAATTAAAGTACACAATGACTAAGATTACTTTTGAGCTCTAAAATTACCATTATTTGTCAGTTGACGTATTTTTGTCCTCTTATTTTTCTAATGGGAAGCTTTTTTAAAAAGTTTAGAAAACATTTGTAGGATCTGCTCATAGAGTTGACACTTAGCTCTTGAGAATAAAAGGGTACATTGGTTGCAATCACTTATTGTGTGTTAGATCCTTGTCCTGATGAAATAAGCAGTGACAGAGAAATTGGCCCTAGGGCAGTCCTTTGATATTTCTCTATAGCTGTTCTGAGTCTGGTGCTCTCAGAGAAAGCTGAGGAAGTTGGCAAAGAATAAATTCAGCACAAATGAGTCATTTGGCCAGTTCAAAGAGTTTCACAACCCTTAGGTTCTGACATCTTGTTAATATTTAATTGATTGAGAATCCTTAGTATATCGCATACAATATAGAGAGAAGGAATAGTTTCTCAATAGATAAAATAATACATGAAAACAATTGCTTAGAAATTGGGGAAATGTTATTTATACACAGCTGTCTCCTAAGTTAGTAAAGGTCTAGAGATAGTGGCCATAAACATTTCAGAACA